TCTCTCTCTCTCTCTGGCCTGCACTATCCACTATCTTCCACACATCCTGAATGGACATATCTTATTTCAACAACTGGGAATGAGTCATTCCATCCACTTGAACTTTTCCTACCCACATTTTAAAAAATGATTACAAAATCTTCAGCAGCATGAGACCGCAGGGGGCGGGGGGGCAAAACACACAGAAAAACAAAACAAAACAGGAAAAACATTGACCGTGCACCGAACAATCTTCGTTGAACCGGCCCTTTTAGAAAATGTCCATTAAAACCCGCGTGTTTAGAACTTAATGACAGTTGCTGAAAAGGCCTGGTCTTCGCGGGAGAAGTGGAGCTTGAGGTCTGCAGGTGGGTATACTGGTTTGGAACACTTAACTTCTATAGCCAATCTCTTGACCGTTGAGGATTTTTTCCTTTCTTCGGCCTCTTAATCCTTTTCAAGCATTTGGATCTTTATTCACCGCTCAGTGCGGTTACAGGCTGGGAAAGATTTCGAAGCCTCGCTGAAACTAATCCTTTTACTGAAAAGGAGCCAAAAGCAAACTGAGCCAATTATGACATTTCTGTGCTCTGAAAAGTTCAAGTGGTTGGAAAGCGGGAATATAATCTAATAAGATTGGTCGTTTGAAAAGAGGGTAGTTTTCGATAAACAACTACACAGGACTCGGGTGTTCTACTTCAAAGAAAACCAGTTATGTATTGCTGGCTTTGTTGTTTTTGCTGTTTGGTTGGGGAGTTGTGAGGGACGGGTGCGTGTTGTTAACTTGTTTGAGGACAAGGTAGGTTTGGTTGTTGGTTGGAGTCGTAGGATGTTTTGCACTTACCGAGAGGTCAGAAGGGGGTGGGAAGGAGGAAGGAGGGAGAGAGAGAAGTGGGGAGAGGGAAGGAGGGAGAGAGAGAGGGGAGAAAGAGAGAGAGAGAGAGAGAGAGAGAGAGAGAGAGAGAGAGAGAGAGAATAAAAGAAAGAAAGTAAGAAAGAAAGAAGGAGACAGATAGACAAACAGACAGACAGAAAGACAGACAGACAGACAGACACACACACACACACACACACACACACACACACACACACACACACAGCTTATCTCAGTTTAAGTGTTTCTTTCAGTTCACTGGTTTCCATACTAAGCCTTTTTCCTCTCTGGGATCAAACCATTTTGGCGGCAATTTTCTTCCGTCTGATTGGTATCAGACAAAAATATAATTTCGTTTCGTTAAAATGCTGGGGAAAATTCGTCTTTATTAGACAGGTATATTAAAGAGGTAATCTGAGTGGCATAAAACAGTAGTTAGTGTTGGGGCGTTGACTAGGCTACCGAATCCGTTATCATGAGATAACGGGTTCGGGGGTTCGAGCCTCATCTCGGTCCGACGTTGTTTTCTCGAGAAATGTGCTTCACGCAAATTTCCCATTTGCCTCGGTTCATTTGGAGATAAAAGTAAAACTCTATTTATATAAAGAGATTTTTGGGAAGGATGGTGATTTCACGTCTTATTGCTATAGTGTGGTCCAAAATGCGTGGAGCACGTTTTCCTTTAATATCTCTTTAACGGGTGAATCACTGTCACCCATACTTTTCACAGCAGTTTGTATCAATTTGTCTTTACTTAATCATAATTTTCCACAACAATTGAAGCTAGATGAAAAAACCTTTCTATATAAAATACTATAAATCTCCGTCACGCGGAAAAAACCCAACGGATTGTTCACAGCAATTCCCACTTCCCAAACACATTTTGTATACGCATACTATGGTCTACGTCACAGCTCACCAATGACACTTTTTAGTGGAAAAACCTGTTACAAGAAACTAATTTTCAAGTGAACACATTTTTTGCTCTAATGGTTCTCAAACCATGCGTTCAATAAGCATAATGTCACGACTAGGAAAGAAATGACAGACTTGCTTTTTAAAGCGATATTGTCCCAGCTGTAAACTTTTTATAATCTGTATAAACCATCGACAGGGATTTTCTGTTATTAAGGAATTGTCTAGAATACAGTGTGCAGGGGTTTTTAAAAATATTCATCAGTTGAGACAAATTGAGAAAAGTCATTGTTCAAAAATTGGAAAATCTACGTTTGATAATTCGACAATAAGTTGTGCCTGAATCTTTGAGAAAATTGAAATAAGGTGACTTCCTGTCTCTTTCATGTGTAGTGTTCTGAGAAGGTCTTGGGCTGTACTGATGAATTTTCGTTTAATAGTTTTTATCCTTTTAATGTTGGTAATGTGAAGCACACAGAAGTTTTGAAGAAAAGGACTTGAGTTTGAACACCACCAGTTATTTTCTTCTTTTGATTATATTTTTTCTTGGGGGGGGGGGGCGATTAAGTTTTTAGGTTTTTTTACGCTCGAAACTGCAAAAGGTCAAATGAGGGCACGAGACACATACAATTATAACATGCATATATATTTGAATTACACGTATGAACGTACATTGCGATAAATTCCTGGCTCATGGCTCAGATCTGATTTTGATTATATCGAAGAAAAATATGTAGCAGGTTCAGATTTCCCGTTATCAGTTGGAATCTCTAGTTTTTAATGACGAGCGAGGACGGCTTAGGGCATGGTAGGGCATACGGGATTTATTCAACATTCTTTGGCCACCAACTGTTACTGTCATGCTTGCTAGGCTCATAAAGGCCGGGAGGAGAGGGTGTAAGAAGTAGGGAGGGAGAGAGAGAGAGAGAGAG